ACACACACCAAAGACGCAACTGTATTTATGGGTTGGAAAATTTGAAAGAATTTGGAAAATAAAGAATCTGGAAAAATATAAGAAAATAAAAACATTTTCAACAAAAATTATTTTGAACTAGCATTGCCCGCGGCTCCGTCCGCGTTCAGATGACCAAAAACCAAATTCTTAGGTTTTACATGTTAGTATACTCTTACATTGCAGTTTTTATAATACTTTCTTAGATTTACGCGAATACTTGACATTTTAAATAAAACTATCTTTTCGGATTTTTTCGCGAATTTATTTTGATTTTTGCTTCCCGACGTTTCGAATGCTTTACAGCAATCATGGTCACGGGAGAGACTGAGGTGTTAGATGTCTCTAAGGTATTATATAGTTGTTACAGACAGCCTACCCACAATAAACAAAATGAATTCAAAAATTGAAAAATGGCACTAAAGTACCTTACAATATTTTAACTTTTAACTTTAAACATTTTTATATAATTTTAATTAGCTTTATAATTGAATATGGAATATTATTTATTCTATTTTATTTGCAGTTTTTGTATTTTTTCTCAGAAATGAGACATTTTGCCGCGGTAAAATGTATCCTATATGTTGACCTGGATAACCAGCTATCATCATAGCAAATTTCATCAAAATCTGTCCAGTGGTTTTCTTGTGATGCGGTAACAGACAGACAGACAGACAAAAATGTTAAAAACTGTAGATTCGGCCTCTGTATCGATAATAATGACTATTTCAATAACATTTTGCAAAAAATATTTAATGTACAGATTCGACTGAGTTAGAATTTTATTATATGTATACATGTAGAATACATTAAATACTTTTTGAGGTATGGGATATTTTCATATACATATTTCTCATAGGAATACTTGAAATACAAATTTATGTATACCAAAACATAAATTTATTGATTCAAACTACAGAACCTTCGGTGTGCGAATTAGACTAGCGCTTGTTAGTTTTTTTTTAATATGATTATCTATGTAAACGCATTTTGTAAAGATTACATACAGATTATGACTTAAAGAGCGACATGTTACTTAAAGGTTTCTACTTTCAGACCGTTTCATCTCGTGGTCCGGTACTTATACCAATTACCAAACCGAACTCATGAATGTTATATGTAGAGAATACCTCCTCACTACCGTGAACTAGTGGCCAGCATGTACGGCTGCATATGCTGTGGTCCTGGGTTCGAGTGCCGGGTCGGACCATTTCTATTACTGAGATTTTCTGTTAAAATATTCTCAGTAGTAGTACGGAGTTAGGAATTTGGTGGTGCTGCACCGCCGTGCCTCTGCTCTAACGTGTCGCATCGCTCCTGCACCTTAACTCTCACCGACATATAGTCCAATCGGACTTGGCGAGTAAAAAGGAATAGAGAATGCACCTTTATCTGCGCGTTCGTTTGTTCATTTGTTTGTACACTATAATAACTCCTATCAGGAGCCATGGCCTTATTCGGCCATGATGATATTAGTATTATACCTACTCAACTTCCAATGTAACCAATGGTAATAATGAGTTATTGATCTGCAGTGAACTGCAGTAATGATAATATGATAATTCCAATTATATTTGACCTATGAAAGGTCTACTAGAACATGTTACTATATATTTTATCATCACACCAGATACACTATATCCATATACGAGTACCTTATCATCACACAAGAGATAATTTAGCGGGCGTACACTATCGTAACGTATGTAACTTAACATAAGTTTCTATCATATTAAGATCGAACTTCATACTTTTACTAATAATAAATATGTTGGGACATTAACACACAGCACCATCTATTAAGCTGCGAGGCTTGTGTTATGTATACCAGATAGTTGATACACTACACTTATATAACTTTAAATACATACATATTATAAATATAAACACCCATGACTGGAGTATAAACATTCGTTCTTATCACACAAATGAATACCCTCAGCGAGACTCGAACCCGCAACCGCTGGCACAGCTAGTAGGGTCACTACAAACTGAGCCAAACTTGTCGTAATAAATTTTTCTTTGCTAGATAGTATGAAACTCCATTCGTCTCAAAATGTAATTAAAAGTCGAAATAGCCCTCACGACTCAGGGGGTTTCATTACAGACTGTCATCTAATTTACGAGTTATCCAACACGGGAAAAATGTTTATATGGACCATAGAGATGTTGGTAATAAAAAAAAATATTAAATATGTTATACAAAAAAGGGAATTATCAATATTTAATATCAATATAGTCTGTTAAACTGACAATTGTTATATTCATCTCAGTTCCAAACACGTGCTACCGGCAATAGTTAGATTTCCCTGGGGACTGTCTGGAATACACGAGAACAGCTTACATTACTACTTAGTATTTACTTTACAATAAGAATAATAGTTCTAATTACTTTATCTTCTATGAATATGTTATATGGACGATCTGTAAGTATTATATGGACGACACGCTTGGCTCAGTTTGTAGTGGCCCTACTTGCTGTGCCAGCGGTCTTGGGTTCGAGTCCCGCTAGAGGTATTCATTTGTGTGATGACGAATGTTTGTACTCCAGTCATGGGTGTTTATATTTATAATATGTATGTATTTAAAGTTATATATATATATGTGTAGTGTATCAACTATCTGGTATCTATAACACAAGCTTCGTAGCTTACCATGGAACTAGATGGTGTTGTGTGTTAATGTCCTGACATATTTATTATATTTATTATATGATCTGTGTCTGTACCAACTTATAGAAATATTACTAGCGGACCCGGAAGGCAGAATACGTCGTCCTGCTATAGACCTCGTTTGATTGGCCAATTAAAAAAAATGGATTTCGATAATAAAGTGAAGAACTACTGTGCCCAAATAACACGCCTATAAGCCACAGAACAAAAAACATAACATAAGTGAAGAACTATCCATGTGCCACAAAAAATCATCGGTCTCGGTCAAGCTGTTTAGGGAGAGAAGAATAATTACGAATACACATACACCGGAATTTTATACATACATAAAAACAAACAGACTAAATAGTCAATATTTGTTTCGCAGGAATTTTCGCTGCCAATACATAATTAATTGTTATACACATGCTGCAATACTCAAAGATATCATTACCCGTCTACGAATTGCAGCTGTTTTCCACCTAACATGTCACTCGATAACAAATAGTGTGCAATATCCGGTGAAACTTACAATTAGTACATAAATAAGCCTTGTTAGTCACATAAGTTTTCTCTTTTAAGACAGATTTGCTCTTTTAAGACAAAGCAAAAATAGTTTTGGGTTAAGGACAAAAGAAAATACAGTGGTAAAGGGCCAATTACGTCTTAAAAAGTGAAATATGAGTAGAGATTAAAAAATCATTTGATATCTTGATCGCTTACAGCATTACACACATCACAAAACATTTTTTGTGAAAATTGTATGAGACATATGACACACAAAAAAGAATGAGTGCGTGTAACGTTTCCGCGCGGTTGAAGTAAAACTTCTTTTGGCGCTGTGTGTAGCAGATGTATTCAGCCCTTTTTTACGTCCCACTGCTGGGCACGTGTCTCCCTTCAGTACGAGGGGGATCAGGCTATAGTCCACCACGCTGGCCAAGTGCGGGTTGGTGGACTTCACGAGTCTTTCGAAAACTTCCTAGGTTTTCTCAGACATGCAGGTTTCCTCACGATGTTTTTCCTTCACCGTGACAAGTGGTAATCATGTTAGAAATGATTCGCACATTCGTGGCAGATACCGCAATTCAATTAAAACAAAACAAAATATAAACATAATAATAATTATTTTTTGTAACAAATATTCATTTTTATAAGTAATAATTATTAATATTAAATATATGTTTTTGTAAATAATAATACTTTTTTTAAATGATTAATAATAAATTTGACTCTTACTTCCGCAACACTCATTTTTCCAATGTATTGACTTTTAATGTATGATTAGAAGTTTTACTTCAAAAATAAGAGATAAATAAGCCCTTATTTTTAAGCCCTCGAGCCCCCTGGCAAGGAACACTAGCTTTAAAAAAGCCTCAGAAAATAAGTATTTAGAGTAAAATATGTAAAAACAAAATAGCAGTAAAAAATAATAACTAATATTATTATAGTAAAGTGTAGACATAGCTTAATGCTAGGTGTAAACGGTGTGCAATCGCCTACAAATTGAAGCGATAACGCGTTGTAGTGGCAAATCGGTGGTTCTCCACTTCCCAGTTACTGGGAACTAATAAAGATGATTAACTCTGTTATTTACCATAGACTATTTGTTTTGTTTTTAAGGAACAATAAAAATACTATTTCTGTAAAGTATTACATATTTGATGATTTTATATAGCAATTATGAGATAGTCCAATATAAAGATTAAACTTTTAGAGCTTTTCACGCATGCATATTTTTCGTCGTCTCTTGGGATTTTGGGTTATTATATTCAGCGCTTTTTTAGATGGCAATCCTAACTACTCCTGTTTTTCTGAGCCATGCAGGTTTCCTCACGATGTTTCCCTTCACCGTAAGAGAAGGGGTAATCACTCAGACCAATAAAATACTTTGTTATTGGTCTGAGGGTAATCATGTTGGAAATTATTCGCATATGAAAATATCAGAGGTGCGTGACCCGGGATTTGAACCCGCTTCACTTGGTTTCCCAAACAAGCGCGTTACCACTGGGCCACCACTGCCTCTAATGATACGAGTAAGTTAACAAAAGTTATAAGCTAAAAGGCAGTTTTCTATTGAATTTCGCATTATTAATGTAACTGTACTGTATTTATTAATTAGCTTCGACTCAAACAACAATAATATAACACTGTCTGTGTTATTTATAATGTTATGAAAAAATCCTGAAGATTAAGAAAGGTATCATCATGTAGTCATGTAAATAATATAATTGCATCTCAAGTCGACGGCTATGGACAACGTGTGTCGTGTGAGCGCAGTGCCGCAGTCGGGGACGCGGGGTTCAGTCTACCCGTGGCGCTCGAGGCAGCATGTCCCGCGCCCTAGTGCTCGCGCTACTCGCCGCGCTCGCCGGTGAGTACCACTTTATTTACTTACCCGATTTTAATAAAACTCACACGAAAAAAATCAACAAAATATTACCTTTCAAACAAAATAAGAAATTTCAATATCCGACCAGTAATTATCAATAAATCACGTGTTATACAACGGATTTATCTTCGTATGTTTTGACAGTTAAAAACCAGAGATTGTGAATTAATAACAAGTGACAGCTGATAAATAACTTTTTAATTTGGGCGCCAAATCTGACAGATTGAAGTTTTAATTGATCGACGCTCAATTTTCGGCCAGTGACATTGTTTTAGGTTACGCGTTTGTTTTTAATGTAACGTAGGTGAATTGGGCCAACGTTTTGTAACAAAGGATAAAATGTTAAAAAAGTTTTATATACGAGTATGTACATTTTCTTAGTTTTATGAAGATCATAAATTTTACTTTTATTGTAGTTTTAAAAAAAATATGAAAATAATATATTGAGGTGTATAATTTTTTATTTAAGTGTGTTATTTTAAAGCAGAATAGTTTTTACAACGGAGTGAATATTTATTAATATTAAAGCGGATGACACCTCTCGAGCGTCGAGTGCTACCCCGATGCGGGTTAACGTATACACCGCAGTGGGAGGGCTAGGTACAACAATAAAATTGACCTAGAACAAAGCTCTTAAATGTTCTTTAACCCTATTTCTATTATTTTTTCTAAATTCACAGTTTGAGAATGCACATTTTATTGAAGCAAAGGAATAAATATATTTGTTCATAAAATAATAATGTTAGCTACATATGTATATCTATACTTAAAATTATAAGATTTTTTTGTATGTTTGTTTGTAATGGATAATGTTGGAATAGTAAACATAAAATATTTAATTGTAATTTTATATATGAATAGTTCCAACCTCTTTGTTAACTTGTGTGCCTACTATTTATTTTTCTATTTAAATTTGTCATGTTCTATGTCACTGTAAAAAGTATTACCGGGCAATAAACGTTGTTAAACTTTCTCTCTTATTATAATTGATTTCCTACAGGTTATGGGCCCTCTCGTATACCTAAAAAGATTCAAAGTTTAATATTTACTGCTATAAAATACTATACAGTCGTTGATATTAGTAATTTGCGAATATTTCATCGAACGTCAATCCGAGTAAAATGGCTATGTCTAATTTACAAATTGAGAAATTAGCCGGACGGGAAAATTATTCGACATGGAAGTTTGCGGTCAAATCTTATCTAGAACATGAGGATTTATGGGAATGTGTCGATCCCGGCACCGATGTCGACTTAAAAAAAGATACAAAAGCCAAGTCAAAAATTATTTTGTTGGTGGAACCAATAAACTACGTCCATATAGAAAATGCACAGTCATCTAAAGAAGTTTGGACGAACCTACAAAATGCTTTCGAAGACTCCGGGTTATCAAGAAAAGTCGGCTTATTGCGAGATTTAATAAACACATCACTAGATAATTGCGCGAGCGTCGAAGACTACGTGAATAAAATTATGAGTACTGCGTACAAATTACGAAATATTGGTTTCGACGTAGATGACCAATGGTTGGGAACACTCATGCTGGCGGGTTTACCGGATAATTATAAACCTATGATCATGGGTCTGGAAAGTTCCGGCATTAAAATATCGGCAGACTTCGTCAAAACAAAACTTTTACAGGAGGTTAAAGTTTCCGAGTCTTCTGCATTCTTCACAAAGCACAAGAATACCTCTAATAAGAATAATGCCAAGCCAAAAGGAAAAGGCCCACGCTGCTTTAATTGCAACAAATACGGACATTTTAAAAATCAATGCACAGTGAAGAAATCTAACCATAATACTTTTTCAGCAGTTTTTTCAGCTTACAGCAATGTAAATGAAGATGATTGGTACATTGACTCAGGTGCCACAATGCACATGACAAAACATTCTGACTGGATGTATGATTTACAACCATCTCCGATTCAGCATATAACAGTTGCTAATAATGATGCAATCTCCGTGCAAAATATGGGTAAAGTAAACATTCAGACCATATACTGCAAAGATAAATGTCCTATCCAGGTAAGAAATGTTTTATATATTCCTGAGCTGAGTGCGAACCTGTTATCTGTTAGTCAATTAACCAAAAATGGCTGTAAAGTGGAATTCACTGATATAGGTTGCAATATATACAATGCCAATAAGATTCTCATAGCAAATGCAACTCTAACAAATAACATGTACAAACTTAATACTGTTACTGGGAATGCTTATACTGTCTCATGCGAAAATAAGACAGATATTATTACATGGCATAAGAGAATGGGGCATTTAAATTTGGCTGATGTAAAGAGGTTAGAGTTATGTGCTGAAGGTATAACTATCACTAATAAAAATGTTGATGTTGTCTGTATACCCTGTTGTGAAGCAAAACAAACACGATTACCGTTTCCACATTCTGGTTCAAGAGCAAAAGCATTACTCGAAATAGTACATACTGATCTGTGTGGTCCGATGGAGACGCCATCTGCTGGTGGTGCGAAGTACTTCATAACTTTCATAGATGACTATTCCCGTAAAGTATATGTATATTTTCTCAAGAACAAAATGGATATTAAGTCAGTGTTTAAAATATTTAAAGAAGAAGTAGAAAACGAATTAGAAAAGAAAATAAAAGTAGTAAGAAGTGATAATGGAAAAGAATATAATAATAAAATATTCTCTGATTTTCTAGCAGCTTCCGGCATCAAACATCAGACCAGCACTCCATACACGCCTGAGCAGAATGGGTTAGCAGAGAGAGTTAACCGGACGTTGGTGGAACGTGCAAAATGTATGTTATTTGAAGCAAAGTTGCATAAACAATTCTGGGCAGAGGCAGTCACCGCTGCAGCTTATGTCATCAACAGATCACCATCACGAGTTTTGGATGAGGTAACTCCCTATGAAAAATGGACCGGTAAGAAACCAAACATTTCTCATTTAAAGATTTTTGGTTCTAAGGCCATGGTACATATTCCAAAACAAAACCGTCTTAAATGGGATCGTAAATCAAGAGAATTAGTGTTTGTGGGATATTGCGACAATACAAAGGGCTACAGATTGTATGATCCAGTAAATAAAAAGATTGTAATCAGTAGGGATGTGATATTTATTGAAAAATCAATGAGTGAGAATGATAATATCACACTGCAACCCATACCTGCCAAACAGTTTGTCAATGTCCCTCTAAATACAGTAAATGATAACATACCTGTTGATGATAGTTCACAGAATGAAACGCAAAATGATACCTTGTCACACTCGAGTACGGACACGTCTTTCGATAGTTGCGTGTTGAATAGAACAAATAGTGATGAAACTTATCATCCCAGTACAAGTGATGATAGTATCGACGATGTTTTTAGAACAAATATGACTTTAAGATCTCACAAGAAACACAATAATTTCATGTGTGTTCAACAGATTTCAGATCCACTAACTGTTGAAGAAGCCTTGTCGAGCACTGATGCTGAACATTGGAAATCAGCAATGGACGAGGAGTATCAGTCCTTATTAGAAAATAATACTTGGGAAATTACTACTCTTCCAGATAACAAACGTCCTTTACCATGCAAATGGGTTTTCAAGAGGAAGACTAATGAAAATGGGGAAATAGTAAAATATAAAGCACGGCTTGTGATTAAAGGTTGTTCACAAAAACCTGGGATAGATTACACGGAAGTATTTTCACCGGTTGTAAGGTATGCTTCTTTGAGATATTTGTTTGCTTTGGCAGTTAAATTTGATTTGGACATTTGTCAAATGGACGCCGTATCAGCCTTTCTTCAAGGGGATATAGAGGAGGAGATATATATGTTACAACCACCACTGTATGACAATGGTAAACAAGTATGTCGACTGAGAAAATCTCTATATGGATTGAAACAGGCCAGTAGGCAATGGAACAAGAAGCTTAGTTCTACGCTGAAAGGAATGGGTCTATCACAGAACAAGTTAGATCCTTGTATCTATTATAAAATTGTGGACAACAATAACATGTTTTTTTTAGCTGTATATGTTGATGACCTAATTTTATTTACAAATAATATGGACACAAAAAAATACGTTAAGGAAGAGCTTCAAAAACAATTTAAAATAAAGGACCTGGGAGATATAAAATATTGTATTGGTATACATATAGAGAGAGACAGGAAGAAAGGAGTTATATATTTAGATCAAAAGAAATATATACAAGAAGTGTTACATAAATATGGGATGTCAGATTGTAAAAGTGTTAAGACTCCAATAGATGCTAACACAAAATTTAAAGAAAAATCTGAAGAATCATGTACCTTACATGAAATCCCTTATCAAGAGATAATTGGTTGTCTATTGTATATTTCACAAATTACCAGGCCAGATATAAGTTTTGTTATAAATATGTTAAGTAAATACAATAACAAACCTGAAATGTCACACTGGATAGCCCTGAAGCGAGTTATGCGATACTTAAAAGGCACTGAAGAGTATAGATTGAGATATAAACAAAATTCGGAGGAGAATATGACTCATGGCTTCTGTGATGCAGACTGGGCAAGCTCGGAGGACGACAGACGTTCCTGTACTGGCTACGTATTCCTGTTTCAGGGAGGAACAATCAGCTGGAATTCTAAACGCCAGCCTACTGTTGCTCTGTCTACAACCGAAGCAGAGTATATGTCTTTGTCTTCATGTGTACAAGAGGCTATGTGGCTGAAACAACTTCAAGAAAGTTTTTGGCCTTTGCTTAAGAATAAAGCAATGATCATCTATACTGATAATCAGAGTTCTATAAAACTTTCAAGTTCCGATGGCTATCATCCAAGGACTAAACATATTGATGTGAGGCACCACTATGTACGTGATAAAGTTGTTGGAGGGGTCATTGATGTGAAGTACATACAGACGAACATGATGGTAGCTGATGCACTCACCAAAGCAACGCCATATTCAAAATTGAATTATTGTGCTACCAAGATGGGATTGATTTATGTTTAAGGGAGGATGTTGGAATAGTAA